TGAAGCTTTGTCTGACATATTTTGGGCATGTTGCAAGGAGGGACTGGTCCTTGGAGAGGGATATCATGTTTGGCAGAGTGGAGGGGCTGCGAAGGAGAGGAAGACCTTTGATGAGATGGATCAATTCTGTGACTGGAGAGGTGGGAAAAGTGTGTTTGAGATGGCTACGTTGGCACAGGATAGAAGAGCATATAGAGCTCTTGTACATAGGGTCGCTATGAGTCTCAAGCGACTCGATGGCACATAACAACAACCACCCCCACCTCTGGGATTGCAGTGCAGCTTCTTGCCACTAGAGCTCCCTGCAACTTGTCTTTTAATTTCCTGACTGCTGGAGCTAGGAGTCTTGATTGTGGAGCCGAGCAAGCTATAACCACCTCAATCTCTTCTCCACCTATCATTGTTCCACCACTTGGCCCAATGTTGAGAATCTTTGTCTTTTTGCTGTTGAGCTTCAATCTATATTTAAGACTACAGTCCTTGACTTTCTGCAGCAAGCGCTCAGGTCCTCCTCAGTTTTAGCAAGCAAGGTGTGTCATCTGCATACATAGGTTGTTGATGAGTCTTCCTCCAATCCTGATGCCACATTTCTCTTCATAAAGCCCAGCTTCCCGAATGATCTGTTGTACATATAGATTGAAAAGGTATGGAGACAGGACACATCTCGATGCACTCCCTTCCTGATTTTGAACAATGCAGTGCTCCCTGTTCTGTTCTAAGGACTGCTTCCCGGTTCAAGTATAGATTTCGCATAAGCACAATCAAGTGTGCTATGATTCCCATTCTCCTCAAGGTTAACCACAATTTCTTGCAATCAACACAACTAAATGCCTTTACATAGTCAATGAAAGGTAGATATCCCTCTGGTACTCTTTGCTTTCTGCCAAGATCCATCTGGCGATAATGTCTCTAATGCCAGGTCTTCTTCTAAACCCATCTTGTATTTCCGGTATTTCTGTTCCAGTCGTTTCAGGATATCTTCAGCAGGATTTCGCTTGCGTGTGATATTGTTCAATAATTTCAACACTCTGATAGGAGAGGCTATTGCTTGGAAAGGTGGAGGGCAAAAGAGAGGAAGACTCTCAACCAGATGGATTTACACAGTGACTGCCTCATTGGAAAAGGTTCAAAGCTGTTGTTCACAGCGTCGCTATCAGTAGTACTTAATTCGATGGCACCTAACAACAACTACAGGATAATCAATTGAAAATAGTAACAATCCTGTAGAAATTGAAAAAAGAAAAGGGGGGGAGCTCTAAAAGTGCATGGAATTCCTAACGTGAAATACTGACACCTCAGATGCTGCAGGACATCATTCTAATTTCTTTCTGAAAATTTTCCTCACGTAACATCAACTATTGTTGGGTAAATAATTCCATTTCATTCCTTGGGAGTCCAGCCTCTGCATTTGGAGACTGTAGTCCCTTTGCAGTCAGAACGCCTTGTTAGTCCAGGCTGTTTTTAGTTCCTTTCCACAATGTTAGCCCCTCCCTAATCTCCAAGCAACAGACAGGACCAGCCAGGCTGGTCTCACCTGGTCTCACCACCCACCCCTGCGGTCTAGAGAAGGGCGTGCCTCCCCGTCCTAGGTGTAGACACTGCCTACTCGTCTCGGCTCCACCCTACCTCTCCTACTTTCAACCTTGTTAATCACCGTAGCCCCGCCCCTTCTCCCTCGGCCCGCCCCCCTCTATTACGGGTTCTCGCTCAGGGCTCCTGGTAGTTGTGGTTTTTCCCGGAGAGACCACGCTTTCCCACATGCTCCCCAACAACTCCTCCTTCCCGCCGGTGCCTGACCCTTCCCAGCGTTCCAGGCGATTACGGCGTGCAAGGCCCCTGGAGGGCAAGGCCCCAGGGCCTGGGGAGGGGCGCGAGCAGCCTTCTGGGAAATTGTAGTTCTGTAGTTGACGAGCACGGCCTGCGGCTGGCGGTATACAAGACTCGTTGTCCCAGCGTGCTCTGCGTACAGCCCGCGCGCTCGCAGATTCTCGCTCTCGCCTGCCCTCCCGCTCCCTTGCTTGCTCGCGCTTTCGTTCGCGCTCTCCTCGCGGATCGAGGGAGTCTCTGGCCATAGTGTGCGGCTGGCAAGAGGCGGCTGCTGGCTGCTGCGGTGGTAGTGGTGGTGGGAAGATGTCGGGCGAGGACGAGCAGCAAGAGCAAACTATCGCCGAGGACCTGGTCGTGACCAAGTATAAGATGGGGGGCGACATCGCCAATCGTGAGTACGGCCTCAGGGGTCTGGGGATCGAGGCAGAGGGGGCAAGGCAAGAGATGATGCTAGGCTATCCCCGGAGTGCCTGAAGCAGTGGGGTCGTGCGGAGTGAGCCATTAAAGGCCCCCCACGGGTTCACTGGAGGCGGTATGATATGAAGACCCTGAGCTGCGCCCAGGACCCAAGTGGCCAGGCCTGGGCTAGAGTCTAAATGTGCAGGCATGCGGTGAGGAAAAGCTCAGAGGGGGGCCTCGGCTCGCTTGAACCCCAGGCGGTTGTAATGGGGGACGGTTCGTCTCCTCCCCACTGCACCTTTGGTCCTTCGGGCAGGCGTCTTGGAAACTGCAGTGCCGGGGACTAGGCGGGCCTCGGACCGGATCCCTGCTTCCTCTCATTCTGGCAGCGGCAAGGCTACCGCGGAAAGGAAACGGCCAGCTGTTGGCGACGGAAGCGCCCCTCTGTTTTGTCGCGGTTCCTGGGCGTCAGGAGCCAAGCTGGCACGTGTTGCTCAGTCTCCATGCGGGTCACCGGCCCTTTTTTCCCTTTGCTTTGGTCCCTGACACCAACTTCCCCACCACGTGCTTTGCCTGTGCTGATTTACTTCACTTTCTTTCCTGGTGGGGGCCCCCTTCTACCCTTGGGCCAGCTCAGGGACCTTTGGATGACACCCTTGAAGCGTCAGACACAACTTTTGGAGATTTATTTGGCCTTCTATGAGGTTACTCATTGCTGCTCCTGTTCAGCAATTCCTGTGCAGATGGTTTTACTGGAAAAATATAGATTGTTCTCGGGAACCTGAAAGTGTTTTGAGGAGGTGCCCTCTTCCAGCTCCATATAGACTATCTTGTGAACAGTATTGGGGTGGGGTTGGAACACAAATGTCTGGATTGTCACTAGTCATCCTTAAAAAACTATGCTGACTTTCTCAGCAGTTGCCTGACAGGTAGCTGCCTTTTTTTTTTTTTGGTCCACCTTTCTATTTTACAACCCAGTTAGGGAGACATACTACTTGTACATGGGCTTTTAATCAGTTCTTAGAAGTTTTCTCCCTGTAACTGAGTTAGCTTCATTTTGAGTTGGGTTTTTTCCCCCCTCAGATACAAAAAGTCTTAAGAAATTTAAATCCCAAAAAGCATATTCTAATGTTGAGGATGGACCATAAAAAGGGCAAACAAGCCAATGAGCAGAGCAAATGCCAAGTAAAGTAACATAATGGACATTTAATATATTGCTCTTATTGATACTCTTTTTGATAGTAATGGTTTAAATCAGAAGAAACTGTTCTCTTTTTAGAAGTTTTTAACTTCTGAGACACTTAATATCCAGATTCCACTTTTGAAACTTTTTGGGATATATCTCTCTTTGAGATTGGCTGCAAATTATAAGCTATAAATTGTACAATTAAGCCTGTTGAAGCCCAGGACCTTAGGTTAAATGCCTTTATATGCTTTTTTTATGCGGAAATAAATCTGCATAAATTGAGATTACCAACACCCATATTGGTTGTCTGAGAAGGTATTATTTAACAGTCATAAACTTTGAGTCAGCAACTCTGTGTCTACCTTTCTGTTGTTCCTGACGCCTATAAATTTCTTCTAGTCTGCTTTGCATGTATGTTGGATACCTTGACCACAGCCCCCTGAAGTTCATAAACTCTAGTCCTACCATACCAAAGGTATCATCTCTGGGAAGCCTAACGCCTTTAAAGGCAGATTGTATATACTCAGATGTCACATTATTTACAAGAGGGAAGAGAATGTTGACTTTTTTTAAGGAAGGTAGAAACTTAAGGTCCAAGAGGTAAAACTCATTCCTTTTTTCACCTTCAAGGCAGTAGCATGAGGGTATATTAAGAATCATGCATCCAACTTCTAGATATTATTTGGGTGGTAACTAAATAATGTACGCAAGCAAAATTGACATGATAGGATTCTATTCTTTCCCCAGGGGTTCTTCGGTCTTTGGTGGAAGCTTCCAGCTCAGGTGTGTCAGTACTGAGCCTGTGTGAAAAAGGTGATGCCATGATTATGGAAGAGACAGGGAAAATCTTCAAGAAAGAAAAGGAAATGAAAAAAGGTAAAAAACAGAGCCCCACTAATCATCCAATCCTAAAGGTTTAACTACAATCCCAGAGGTGAACGGTTCGAATCCACCAGATGCTCTGCCGGGTAAGGAGGGACAATCTCCTCCTGTACCAGTCAGATCTGATTTGACGGTACACGCACACAAAAATTATAAAAAAATAAAATTAAAAAAAAAAATCCTAAAGGTTTTGTTTTGTTTGTCCCAATTACTGATGCAACCTCCAGCCTATTTGTCTGAAGGAGGAAGACCCCTGAGGAAGTGGGGCAGTAGGCTAATAGGAATTCTCTCTTTACAGGTATTGCCTTTCCTACCAGCATTTCAGTAAATAACTGTGTATGTCACTTTTCCCCTTTGAAGAGCGACCAGGATTACATTCTCAAGGGAGGTGATTTGGTAAAAATGTAAGCTTGAACTAATATAATCCCTATTATCTGTCAAGCATTTGTATAGTGTCTATTTCTAATTTAATAAATTTCTAATATTTTAACTCTTGCTTTTCAGTGACCTTGGAGTCCATGTGGATGGCTTCATTGCTAATGTGGCCCACACTTTTGTGGTTGATGTAGCGAAGGTAAGTAAATTTGCCTGGAACTCGCTTTCTGTTCAGCTGAAGAGGGGAAATGCTCCTTTGCGTCTCTAGAGAAACAGAGAAAGAAAGGTTGCTTTGGTCCCTTGGTAATGGGTACCTGGATATTAAGTGAATGGTTAGCTGAGTTGAAGAGCTCTGGAAGACTCTGATTGCATTTCCTCCCTTTTTTTACCTGCAGGGAACCCCAGTTACAGGGCGGAAAGCAGATGTCATTAAAGCCGCTCACCTTTGTGCTGAGGCTGCCCTACGCTTGGTCAAGCCTGGAAACCAGGTAGCTATTTGATAGAGCCAAAGGTGGATTAACCATCTACAATTCTTCAGCTGTACTGAACTACCAAATTTCCCACCGTTCTTTTATGAAATGAAAATTACTTTTTATTAGCTCTGTTAGAATGTGATTTCTTAAGTAATAAGAACTGCAATTCTGAAGATGTGTGGTTCAAATCCACCAGATGCACTGCTGGAGAATGAGGGGCAATCTCCTCCTGTGCCAGTCGGGTCTGACTCACAGTACATAACAACAAATTTATTTTATGTTGGGTTGCATACAAAGTTCATATTCATTGTGTTTCACACTATCCTTCATACACATGGGTTTTATACAATTTCCATTCATTATGTTTTATAAGATCGCTACTTTTTAAGAAACTTGAGATTTTAGGTTCTCAAACAGTTCAGTAGATCAGGTTACCTTTGGATGTTGCCTAAGAACTTCCCTCCCCTTTTTTTATTATTATTTTAATGAAAGTTTACAGAGACTTTGGATTTTCATTCATTCATTGTTGCACTTTTCTCCCTAACCTTCTCTCCCAGTTGGCTCTTTTCTTTGAAAAGTAAAAGAAAATTCGTTCATTGTTATACAGTTCCTCCCCCCAAGTCCACTCCACTATGCAGCCATATCCCTTTTAAACAGTTCTCCCCCTCAACTGTTTCAATGCAGTATGCATAATTTATCCCATCTTTCTCAGTTTCCCCCAAACCTTGAGGTCAGCTCCATTTTACAACAGTGGCACTATGCAGTATTTGTCCTTCTGTGATAATTGCCCCTTTGTAATAATAAATTTTAGTTCAAATTTCTATCCTATAAAAAGGGAAAAGTAAAATTGTGCTTTATTCTCACAGAGTTGTTGTGATAATTAAATAATCCATGTAATTTAGAATAGTGTCATCCAATAAATATGACCTGTGATTGGTCCTTCACTTTTCTCATTATCTAAGAGCCATAGTTTAGATAAAAAGTTCATGTTTGGAATAAATGAAAAAGGAAAATAAAAATGTGTTGCTCCTCTCAGTAGGTTAGAATACCAGGTAAAATGGAAATTAAACACTGGTTTTAAAGTCTGGAAACTGGAGTATATCAACAGGTTCTTCTATTTCACACTTGTTTAAACTTGGGGAAATTATTTCATCTTTGAGCCTCGATGCCCCATATTCTAGATTGGTATATAGATTTGCCCTATTTAATTTCCAGAATTACATATTTGTGAAAATGCTTTGTAAAATGATACACGTGTACTTTTTAGGTTACACATATATAGAGTATGAAAGATATGTGTAGGTATGAAATGAAAAATTGAGGGAAATCACAGTAGATGTTAGAATTTTCACTGTGTTTCTTATTCTCATGTTAGAGAACTCATTAGCTGCTGGTATCTCACTTTTAATTTGATCTTCTACTTCTAGAACACACAAGTGACAGAAGCCTGGAATAAAGTTGCCCACTCATTTAAGTGCACACCAATAGAAGGTGAGAATTCAGATAATATGGTTCAAGGCCTAAGAATAAGTGGTTTACCATTATTAAAGCTTTTTATTCCCTTGAGGATTTATTTTGGCTCTGCCTTAGTCTAGACCAAGAATTCTGAACCAGGTGCTTACTTTGATTGCCTTCTCCATCAAAGTACTTAGATAAGTAGGTTTAGAAACTTTGTCTTTTCTATAGGTATGCTGTCACACCAATTGAAGCAGCATGTCATCGATGGAGAAAAAACCATTATCCAAAATCCAACAGACCAGCAAAAGTAAGTGCCAGTCCTGCCTCTCACGTTCCATCTTATGAGATGAATGAATAATCAACCTACTCATCCATACTCCCATCCTGATTCTGTCTACTTTCTACTCCAAAACCCTGGGAGCTTAGTTTTCTTAATGATTCCATTTCCGGTGGTTCCTCTTAGGAAGGACCATGAAAAGGCTGAATTTGAAGTACACGAGGTATATGCTGTGGATGTTCTTGTCAGCTCAGGAGAAGGAAAGGTGAGTTTTACCAGTGCTATTAAAAAATGACTGTAAAAAGGGGGGACAAATGACTGGGGACATGTTGAGAAAACATACACCTAAATGTGATCTGACTTACTCTTTTAGGCCAAAGATGCAGGGCAGAGAACTACCATTTATAAACGAGATCCGTCCAAACAATATGGCCTGAAAATGAAAACTTCTCGTGCCTTCTTCAGTGAGGTGGAAAGACGTTTTGATGCCATGCCATTTACTTTAAGGTACTATACTTAGTAAGCAGAGGACATATAACCCTAGTGTCCTAGGAACACTTTTCCCCTCTCCTCCCGTCATGGTACAGACATAAGAACTTTGGTGGTGCTGCTTACCCCAAAGACTCTGGCATGTCAGATCCACAGGAGATTGGTAGGTGTTATCCTGTTGAGTTTCCAAAGCTGAAAATCTTTACACCACAGACAGCCTCATCTTTCTCCTTTGGAGCAGCTAGTGGAGTTGCACCACTAAGATTTCTTAGCTTGAGGTTAGGAACTGTGTAAGAAAATTAGTAAAATTATTGATATATTATTAATAAAAAGATTTGGTAGGTAGTTATGAACAACTAAAATTTCTCTTCCCGTGCACAGAGCATTTGACGATGAAAAGAAGGCCCGGATGGGTGTGGTGGAATGCGCCAAGCATGAACTACTACAGCCATTTAATGTTCTCTATGAGAAGGAGGGTGAGTTATGAGGAGAGTATGACTTTGGAGCACCTGGTTATCTAGTACTCTCTATCTCCCAGTAACTTAAGGAAAAAGAACTGATTATGAGGAAGGAGTATTTTAGCAAACACTACTTTTTTCCCCCCATAGGTGAGTTCGTTGCCCAGTTTAAATTTACTGTTCTGCTCATGCCCAATGGCCCCATGAGGATAACCAGTGGGCCCTTTGAACCTGACCTCTACAAGTCTGACCTGGAAGTCCAGGATAAGGAGCTGAAGGTTGGTGAGGGGTGGAAAGGAGGGGGAGCAGGAGCAGTGTGGTGCCTGTCGTGGAAGCAAGGGTGAAATACTAGCAAAGTTCTGGAAAAAACTGTAGTACTGAGAATAGCACTTTGTGTTAATGATTCTTAAACATTTCCAAAATTTGTTCTTTTCCTGTTTCCTAGGCCCTCCTTCAGAGTTCTGCAAGCCGGAAAACTCAGAAAAAGAAAAAAAAGAAGGTGAATCATCATCCCCCTTTATTCCACCTTCTATATGAGCAAGGGGTGGTGGTGATATATTTCTCTGTATCCTTATTCCCCCCGACCCAGATGGTTAAACATTGCGCCAAGTAGTTGAATACTAACAGATCTTCTCTTTCCCCTTTCCCCAATTGTAGGCCTCCAAGACTGCAGAGAATGCCACCAGTGGGGAAACTTTAGAAGGGAATAAAGCTGGGGACTGAGGTGGGTCACTCTCCGTGGCTTGCTGCTCCTGCCTCATCCCTTTCCCACTACACCCCAGGCTCTGAAGTGCAGATCGTCTTCTCCATCCTGGACCACCAGCAGAGCGGGGTCTCCCTGCCCCCATCCCAATCCCCCAACCCACCCCTTTCCAACAACAGCCAGCTCCAACTGACTCTGGTTTTGGGAAGCTAGACTTCCCAACCACTGAAGACTACTTTAAATAGAAAAAAAAAGAAATAGAATAATAAAATCAGGAGTCAAAACCCATCGTCTTCAAGCCCCTCTTTCTAGCCTTTTTCTACTACTTTGCTTGGTCAAAGTCTGACCCTACAACAGAACAGGGAAGAGGCTAAATTAGCCACCACCACCATTAAAAACTGAGCTGAAATTTTTTTATGCCACTCCAGATGTCAACATTTTCTCATCTGTTGGGGGATTCTTCCTCACTTCTCCAAAATATTTTAGGTGGCCTCAAAATAGAGGAGCTATTCTTCAGATTGATTTTTATTCACAGGTGGCAGATACTTTTTTTGTCCAGACTGTCAGGTCAAGACCCTCATTTTTAGGAGGTGGAGCCTGCATATCTACCAAGGGATTCTCATCGATCAAACGAGTCCTCATTTGTAAATCTTTGGTCATTTTTGTTCTAAAGGATTTTCCCCCCTCACTTTCACAAAGCTAGAAAGAAGTAATCCATCGCAACTGAGCCCTTTCTTTGGAGTCAGTGGGATCTTCCCTTGCTCTGTCTTACATAAACTTGAACTGGAGCTCAAGTATGGTTTTGCTCCCTATTTGAATATTTTGATCTCTTCCCTTTGAAAGAAAAACCAGAAACCAGAGGAGCAGACCAACTGAAGAGATAACTCTTGGCTTTCTGAAGCTGTGGACTTGGATTGGATGAATTGCTGGGGGTTTGGAAAGAAAGGTGATTAATTTCAGTACCTCTGGCATGCTGTCCCAGGAAACTAGTGTTCCCAATAACTTATGTGGTTTTTAAACACATTGAAAATGAGATATCATTAAAATAAATTTGGATTTGGTAATACTGATGTGCATTTGTATGCTGGTTTTATTTGATGAAAGTAGGGAAATTAGTTTAACTCTCTAAATTTGAAATAAGAATTGCTTTTGCCACTTTGTCCAGGAAAAGGACTCTTAAATGTGTACTACAAACAAAAGGCTATAGAAGTATTTTTTAAAAAAATAAAGCAAACTAACACGGACGGTGCTATGCTAAAGCACTTATTTAATGATCACCTATTTAAAGATCAAAAAATAAATATTGTTCAGTAAAAAAAAAATAAAGCAAACTTACTACTGTCCAGTAGAACTCATGTCAAACCTCTGTTGAGTTCCTGAGGGTGTAAATCTTTATGGGAGGAGGCTGCTAGAAAGCTATCAAAAAAACTCCTACCAACTCCCTGCCTTGTTCTGGTTCCTGAGGCTACAAATTCTAATTTGAAGAGATTGTCAATCCTTATCCTGCTTAACTGCTGACAGATGAAGTGTGGGAGACACAATACTGAATTAGCACAACTGAGTGTGCTACCAGAGCTCCCTCATGAGAAACCAAACAGAAAAGCTAGTTGTTTAGTCTGAACTCAACTCACACTCCTTGGGCTTTTAAAGGAGACGAAATTACAAGGGAGTAGATATCATGTGCTCTACCCCATTGATAGTCTTTCTGACCCTCCACTTTTCCTGCATGTCTAAGGACTGACATCTTGTGACCACATGCCCAAATGATGTGTAAGTTATTCCCTATCCTTGGCCCCTAAGGATGCACCCTGGCTGCATTTCTTTCAATATAGACTTTAACTCTTTTTGGCATTCCATAGTATATTCGTATATTCAATACCCTTTGCATTGTGGAATTTGCAAAGGCATATTATCCAGCTTTCAGATATATGTATATGAAGCAATTTAAAATACCACTGCTTGGATCAAGTGCATTTAGTCTTTAACATTGTTGCACTTTGGAGAGGTCTTTGGCAGCTGATTTCTCCAATGCAATATGTCTTGATTTCGTGACTGCTAGTAGCATGGTGTTAACTAGATTCAAGTAAAAAGAAATTGTTGGCAATTTCATGTCATTATGCTGCCTACTGGTCCAGTAGTAAGGAATATTCTTGATATTGAGATGGAATCTACATTGAAAGCTGTAATCTTCTGCAAGTAAAATTATGGTATCTGCCTAATGCAGGTTGTTGAGTCTTCCTCCAATCCTGATGCCACATTTCTTCTGTTGATTCTCAAATTATTTGCTCAGCATGTAGACTGACATTCTAGAGAATAAGATGCACCTGATTCAGGCCATGGTCTTTACAGTCAATTGCTGTGCATTAGAAAATTGGACAAGGAGAATCAAAGCCTTTGAGTTGTACTGGAGAACAGTATTGAACCTAACCATGGACTGTCAAGAAAAGATCTGTCCTGGAGAGCGTGAAATCAGGTTCTTCAGAGGCAAAAATTTTGAAGCTCTATCTCACATACTTTGGGCATGTTGCCAGGAAGGGCCAATCCTTGGCGAAGGACATCATACTTACAAGGGTGAAGGGACAACACAGGAGAAGACTACCCTGGATAAAATGGATTGAGACAGTTATTGGATTAATGGGGGTAGGTGTGTCAGAGACAGGTTAGGCAAGAGTGAAATTTATTATACATAGGGTCGCTATTAGTTGCAGGCAACTACTGTTAATGGGCTGTTGAGTTGGAACTGACAAAGGTGACCAGTAGGTTTTCAGAGGATGTAAAGGCACAGGAGACTCCCATTTTCTTCTTTGGAACAGCTGAGTTGGCAGAGAGAGGAAGACCTTCAACAGCATTGATATAGTAACAGCAGCAATGAGCTAAAGTGTGTCAGAAATTATGAAGATGGCACAGAATAGGGTAGGATTCAGATCTGTTGTTCCATAATGTCAATATGAGTCATACTTGACTCAGTGGCAGCTAATAACAACATGGGCAAAATGCTCTATGATCTAGGAAGTGTGAAAGGAATACCAACTGATATTTCAACAGATTCAGCCCTGGATGTGCTCGCCAGGTTATTCCAAGAAATCTATAGTGCAGCTACCTAGCTAACTAAAAGATCCTTATTTATTCCCGCTCAAAAAAGGCGATCCAATAGAACGTGAAAATTATCAAACAATATATTAATATCACACACAAGCAAAATCTTGCTGAAAATTATCAAAAAATAACTGTAACAGTACTTCAGCAGAGAAATGCCAGAAGTACAAGCAGGGTTTAGAAGAGAATGATGCATTAGGGATTCATTACCAAAGTCAACTGGATCTTGGCTGAAAGCAGAGAGTACAAAACATGTCGATTTATGTTTTTCTCAATGATGCAACAGTATTTGTGTGGATCACAACAAATTGTGGCTAACATTGTGAAGACAGAATCCTAGAACATTTGATTGTATTTATGGTAAACCTTTATCTAAACAAGGAAGTTATTAATCCAAACAGCAAAAGGACACTGCATGGTTCAAAATCAAGAAAGGAGTGTGTCAGGGTTGTATTCTTTCTTCATACCTCTTCAGTATATATGCAGAATAGATCATTCAGGAGGCTGGACTCGTAGAGAAGACAGTGGCAGCAAAATTGGATGAAGAACAACTTTGCTCACAGCAAATGAAGAGGACTTGGGTTTGCTGCAGAAGGTCAAAGACTGCAGCCTTTAGTATGGATTGCATTTCAACATCAAGAAAGCAAATATCCTCACCACTGGGCCAACTGGCAGTATCATGATAGAGACAAGATTGAGGCTGTTCATTTCATCTTGCTCACATCCACAATCAGTACTTTCCCCCCTTTAATTTTCTGTTTATTACATGAAATCAAGGTGGTTTTTTTCTTTCTCAATTTTATTTCTTCATACTGGAAACACATAGGGTGCCTGGACCCACACAGTCCAACCTCCAATGGCAGGTAATGCTTTCTTGAGGAGCCCTGGTAAGGACAGGGGTGGGCCACCCATGCCTTCTGAGACAATCAATTAGCACAAGCAGTCAAAAAATCAAAAAGACAAGTTCCTTTGGGGAAATTTGCCGTCAGGGACCTCTCAAGAGTAACAGTGTGAATCTAGAGATTAAGGTTTCTGTTATCCAGGCTATGGTCTTTTTTATTGCTTGCTATTTATCTGAGAGCTGGACAATGAATAAGGATGACAGAAGAATTGATGGCTTTCAGTTGTGATGCTAGAGAAGAGTACTGAACATACATTGGACTGCCAAGAGTCTGTCCTTGAGAAGATGAAACCAGATTGTACCTTTGAGGCAAACATTTTAAAGTTCTGTCTCGTACTTTAGGCATGTTGCCTAACGGGACCAGTCCTTGGAGAAGACCATCATGTTGGAAGGGTAGAGCATCCGCATGGGAGAGGAAGAACCTGGTTGACATGGATTGACACAGTGGCAATAGGGTCTGATGTGTTGGGGGTGGTGAGGATAGGGCAGGGTTTAGAGCTTTTGTCCATTGGATTTCTATGAATTGCAGTTGACTTGATGGCACATAACCACCACAACCACCACTGGTTTGATCTTCAGTAAAGCGAGAATTAATACTTTAACAAATTCTTGGTACTGTAGCCAAGAATGTCTCCTGAATTGTGGAAAAGATTTTAATAGTTGGCTATATAACAAACTGTGGCTGACTCTGAGAAGAATGGGAATCCCAGAACATTTAATTGTGCTAATACGAAACCTATACTTGGACCAAGAGGCAGTAGTCAGAACAGAGCAGGGTAACACTGCATGGTTCAAAATTGGGAAGGGTGTACGCCAGGGATGCATCCTGTCTCCATACCTTTTCAACATGTATGCAGAGCAGATTATCCGAGAGGCTGGGCTCTACGAGGAGAATTGTGGCATCAGGATTGGTGGAAGATCTATTAACAATCTGCATTATGCAGATGACACAACCCTGCTTGCTGAAACTGAGGAGGACCTCATGCACTTGCTGCGAAGGGTCAAGGACTGCAGCCTTCAGTATGGACTAAGGCTCAATGTCAAGAAGACAAAGATTCTCGCCACTGGACCAATTAGCAGCGTCAGGATGGATGACGAAGGGATTGAGAGTGTTCACAGCTTCAGTTTGCTCGGCTCCACAGTCAACACTCTTGGTACCAGCAGTCAGGAAATCAAAAAGCGTATCGCGATGGGAAAGTCTGCTGTTAGGGACCTCTCAAAGGTACTCAGGAGCAACAGTGTCTCTCTGGAGACTAAGGTGCGCCTGATACAGGCCATGGTCTTTGCAATCGCTTGTTATGCATCAGAGAGTTGGACAATGACTAGGGAGGACAGAAGGAGAGTGGATGCTTTTGAGCTGTGGTGCTGGAGAAGGGTACTGAATGTACCCTGGACTGCCAGGAAAACAAACAGATTCATCTTGGAGAGGATTAAACCAAGCTACTCCTTGGAGGCAAAGATTCTGGGGCTTCGTCTGACATACTTTGGACATGTTCCCAGGAGGGACGGGTCCTTGGAGAGGGACATCATGCTTGGGAGGGTGGAGGGACAGCGCAGAAGGGGAAGACCCTCTATGAGATGGATTGATTCGGTGACTGGGGTAATCGGGATGGGTGTGTCAGAGGCGGTGCGGTTGGCGCAGGATAGAGCAGGGTTTAGAGCTGTTGTGCATAGGGTCGCTATGAGTCGGAAACGACTCGATGGCACATAACAACAACAACATTACATTATAAGGGAGCCCTGGTGACCTAGTGGTAAGAAGCTGGAGAAGGATGGGAGAATATCCTCCAGCTGCTCTGAGGGATGAGCACTCTATTCTGTCTACCTTCTCTTAGGGAAAAGGATGGGCAGTCGCCTCCCGTACTGTACCATGGAATCAGAACCAACCATAAATAGCTGATCCTCTGGTAGGTTTTCAGAGCAGTTAACTGCACAGGAGGAGATTGCCAATCCTTCTCCCACACAGAGCGACTGATGGCCTCGATCTGCATGCCTTAGGAATTGCAGCGCTGCTTCTTGACAGGCCGTGCGATTTACTGCTTCTGAAAACCCACTGTAGTGTCAGCTATGGGTCTGTTCAAACTTGACTATACACAAGAACATTTCATTATATGGAGTTCTGGTGACTTATTCTGTAAAGTGTTGCACTGCATGCAATTTACAACCTCCGAATATCCAAGGGAAGGTCAGCCATGAGTCATTGCTGACTCCACACCAAAGAGTGAATCGTTTTCTAATAAGAGTTTGGGTAAAAGTTGATCTTTGACAGTGACAACTTTTCCTATCCAGAATTTCACGTCCATGTTCTAGCATACAACATTTTCGGAAGTTCTGAAATCGACCTTCCCTTTGCCATAATTTAGGAAATAAGGTAAACAAACCAGATAGACAAATTATCTTGTACAATCCGCACCAATCAACAAAAGGCGTTTTACCAGTAACTGCAACTCCCAAGAACAGGGAAGACAAGTCACTTTTTCTCGTCTACATTCCTTGTTTCCACCCTATCATGTAAAAATATTGCAGTGTTCACATAATGAATTTGTGGATAATATAGGAAATGAAGAGTTGGTATCTTGAATGAGAATCCACAGAGCTTCAGTTCATTCACTGATTTACCAGGTTTCTGAACACCCATTGTTACGCTGTTCAGGTATCCCCGCCCCTGGGTGGGCGGGACAACGGAAGTGACGACACTGAGCGCTACATAAAATAGCTGTAGAAGGAACTCGCTCTCTTTCCACTTTAGCGCCATCTTGTTCGGTAAGTGGTTTGTATGGAATCGGCTCACAATCCATTAACATCTGGAAGTTGCATTTAACATCATCGCGGCGAACTAACTGTACCTTTTTTTGTCTTTTCCCGTAGAGACCTCCGAACCATGAGGGCCAAGGTGAGCAGTTCCGAACAGTCAACTGTAAAGTAGTAGGGAATGGTGATGGAGAGAAACTCGGGATTAGCGAAGTCCGCCATGGTTCCCCTACCGCTAGGTTTTCGAGACTACCCCTAGAGCTACTAGGATAGGAAGGATAGTGTGGAGGGGAGCAAAAATTGTATAGACGAGAAGCCGGGGAAGTAGTAGGGTTAGAAGATTGCATGCTCAAAAGCGGCGGGGTTTATTCTGGGCGGGGGCTCCAAATTGATTCCATTGCTCAGACCCTCATCCAAAGAGCTTTCGTGGTCCTAAATAGTATTTTTAATGTCCCTACTTAACATGTTAATGAAACTACTGATCTTTTGTTTTGTTTTCTGCCTGCTCTGATCGATTGCCAGTGGAGGAAAAAGCGAATGCGCAGGTATGTTTATACTTCGCCAGTACACAGGAGGAGGGAAGGGAGCGGAACTTGGATACAATTCCCACCTTCGCTTTCAAAAGGAACAGGACATAGTTTGACCAGCACAAGGAATTGAAGATAAACTGTAGTGCTCTTTAGTTCTCGCTCACGTGTTGTATGTACATAATATAATCGACTACTGTGTTTGAAGGGAGCAGTTGCATTCATATGTCTGCTTTTCAGGCTGAAGCGTAAAAGAAGAAAGATGAGGCAGAGGTCCAAGTAGACGTGAGCGCGTGCCGACGCCACAGCGGCAGGAGTAGAGAATGCCACAGGCTGGGGACGCTGATACAAACTGGACTGCATGCTCCTGTCTAGAACTTCTGACTCAAGGGATCTAGAACGTCTATCGCCATTCGATCGCCATAAACACCTGAGAGGCCCGCTTTCCTCCTTCGAAACCAGACCCTTTTGATCTGTTGCCCTGGACTATGATATTCTGGACTAACTCTGCTTAGTTGTGGTTGGATGTCACGTGCACAATAAATCATCTCTTCTGCTGTCTTAGCCGAAGAATCAAATAGCCTTGTCTGTTATGTGGTTTTTTTGGGATATTTTGTAACCTTTCCTTTGGGTGGTGAGTCCCTTAATTCCCAAACTAGGAGAAGATGTGGAGAAACGATAAAGGCTTCTCAGTCCTAGGACCTGAAGTTGATGGTTGTCCTTCACTGGAGGGAGTGAAACTAAAGCATGGGTATAAATTAGAAGGTCTTAAGTGCCCTCCGCTTGGCTCGTTGCCGCATTACGTTGAAGGTGTTCATGGCCTTCCAGCACCGTTTCCTGCGTGTTGCCATGGTGACTCGCAGGGCTTGTTGGGAACTTCCTGTGTCGGCTCCCTCAAATGTTGTACCATTAAGTATGGTTCCGGGTCTGGCGGCTAGAGCGTCGTTTCTTCCGCAGGAAGCGGAAGGACGATAGGGTAGGCGGCTCTTTGTCGAAGCTAGAGGACCGGCAGGCGGCAGCAGCAACTACGGCGGCGGCAGCAGGTGAGGGAGGCGGGAGAGTTAGGTGGAGGCCGCGCCCGGAGGGGAGGAGTCGGGCCATCCCAGCGGCTGGACTCAGCCGATCTACAAATGGCCCCCCAGGAACAATCTGATTATTCTTCACATTCCGAGGCCGAACCCCTTTTCTGACTGATCCCGCTTTGCGGGCAACCGCCTGCTCCATGACGTCACAACCTTGCCCATCCCTCAGCATGATGTCACCTGGAGCCTTCCCCCCTTTCATTTCGTGTTCCCCTAGAGTCCTGTTGAGATGATCCGCAGGTGATAACTGGAGGCACTGCACAAAACTTGTTAATTTAGAAGACTTGCTGCGGGGAAACTCCTAGGACTTTTGGGTTTTTTTGCAAACTCTAGGACGTTAAGCGTCATAATCACCCAAGTTTAGTCGGCCATCCCACTACACTGTCAGTCGCAGCCCTTGCACTGCTCCCCATGTGGCATTCTTAACCCCAACCCTAGACTGGGATCTGATCCCAGTTCCTTCAAACGAGTTTTAGCCCATACTTCTCTTACTGGAGACTTGCCTTGTCCTTTTGACAGGTGGAGAAGTTCAGTGTGAACTCTAAGGACATTTTAAATTCTGAGAGCCCTTACCGTTTTGTCATACTTCTTTCCACACAGTCCACTCTTCCTCCTCCTATCCAAGTCTTCTTTTTTCTTGTTCAGAATCCAGCAGTGATGTGGAGGTGGAGACCCACAGGAGCCCCGGACTTCACCTGAGCTACCTCAGGTATTGAATAATCCTGGGAGGGTTAGGTGGGGAGTGATAACCGTATCTGATTATCTGCATCTGATAGGATTTCATGGATTAAGTTTGGATGGATACTTCTTCACATAGTGATTCCTTTTAGTAAAAGTTGTACCTTCTTTTTACTATCTTTTCCTTTCCCCCGCCCCTCCTTGCCGAGATTATATTTCTTTGGAAGAAAAGGAGCCCTTTCCCCTTATAGGTTATTTGGTAACTCTGGCCTCTAGTTTGGTCACTTCAAACTGGACACTTTAGAAACTTTTTTTAAAAAAATTATTATTAAATTTTATTCGTTTTAATGAACATTTGCAGAGATTTTTGGTTCTTATTCATTGTTGCACTTTTAGAAGCTTTAAAGGTGAAGTCAGAGTAATTGGAGAGTCAAGGCCAAGGAGAAATCTAAAGGAGTTCTTCTTTAGACAGCAGGGGGAGCCTGAACACTGCCTAGGGAAGGTCTATGTGGTTAGACACATGGTAGTAAAGACTCCCAATCTTGTGTGGAGGGTGTTAGAACCAGGGCAGTGGACTGGCATTCCTGACCTCTCTTGGGAAAGAGATTTAAAAAGCTTTTATGGAGTCTATAAATAAAGAGGCTCTTTATGGGGTGAAGAATAGGGTTTGATGGCAATGGATCTTCCCATAGAGTTGGGGACAGGAAGAAGGGGTGGAATGGGAACAGAAAGCTCACTTATTTCTATAAAATTAACTCTTTTTACCACCTTTGCCTTTTCACTCCCTCTTCCCCCCCACCCCCACCCCCCGGTGTCTAGAAGTAGAGATTCTAGCTGTTTTAGATTCCCCTTCTTTGAAAAGAGGGGTCCTAGGACACTGCCCTCATGGGTTGAAAGTGTCAGAAGCTAAAGAAAGAATAAAAAGTTTAAGAACTCTCAAAATGGTCATACTGTTCTTTTCACCAAGGATTTCTTGGAGTTTGGTGATCTGATGGGCCTTTCTTTCCCTTAGAGCCCACGGAGGAACGGTTTAAGGGATGATGTTTGCCACTAGTGCTTCCTCGTCATAGCTCAGCAGTCTAATTTCAGTTCCACAATTTTAATAAGGTCAGCTCAGAAGGGGAGATAAAATACAACACTATACTCTCCCTTCCCCCTCCTCGGCCACCCTATCATCATTGAGATGAGGTTGCTTCACTCCAGATCCCTCCTTCCTCCGTTAGCCAGGCAAGTGTGAATCACTCTGACCCAGACCAGGTGCACAAGGGCCTGGGCGGGGACTTCTCATAAGCCAGCCAGTCCAAACAAGACTTCTCATCTCTTAGATTTTGTTATCTCCAAAGCCATTTCTATTCTGACCTGCTTTTCAGTGGGCTGCCACTTCTAGGGAAGAGTGGTGACCTCTCCAGAGGACCCTTGTTTGACACAGCTTTCCTTTTTTCTAGCTGTCACCAAGAGTGGCAAGAAAAAGAAGAAAGTCCAGAGTTGGAGGGGACCAGAATGCCTGACCGGGACAACTATGCCAATGGCACTGGAAGCAGCAGTGGAGGTCCTGGAGGTGGCGGCAGCGAGGAAGCCAGTGGGGCAGGGTCAGGCAGTGTTGGAACAAACTCAGATGCCATCTGCAGAGACTTCCTGAGGAATGTGTGCAAGCGGGGCAAACGTTGTCGCTATCGCCATCCAGACATGAGCGAAGTGTCCAACTTGGGGGTGAGCAAGAATGAGTTCATCTTCTGTCATGACTTCCAGAACAAGGAGTGTAGCCGTCCAAACTGCCGATTCATCCATGGCTCCAAAGAGGATGAGGATGGTTACAAGAAAACTGGAGAACTTCCCCCTCGGCTAAGGCAGAAAGTAGCAGCTGGCCTGGGCCTTTCACCAGCTGACCTGCCGAATGGCAAGGAAGAAGTGCCCATCTGCCGTGACTTCCTCAAGGGGGACTGCCAGAGAGGAGCTAAGTGCAAGTTCCGTCACCTGCAACGGGATTTTGAGTTTGATGCTCGGGGTGGAGGAGGAGCTGGTGGGGGGGGTTCAACAGGCCCGGTCCCCCCAGGACGTCGTCATGATCTCTATGATATCTATGACCTCCCTGACAGGGGCTTTGAAGACCATGAACCAGGCCCCAAACGTCGGCGAGGTGGGTGCTGCCCTCCTGATGGCCCCCATTTTGAATCGTATGACTACAACCTGGCTCCACCCCGAGGAATGGAATGCAGACTGCTAGAAGAGGAGAACGCCATGCTCAGGAAGCGGGTCGAGGAGCTAAAGAAGCAGGTCAGCAACCTGTTGGCCACCAATGAAGTTCTGCTGGAACAAAATGCCCAGTTTCGTAATCAGGCTAAGGTCATGACTCTGAGCTCCACTGCACCAGCCACTGAGCAGACTCTGGCCCCCACTGTGGGCACTGTTGCCACTTTTAACCATGGCATTGCTCAGACTCATACTACTCTCAGCAGCCAAGCTCTCCAGCCCCGCCCTGTATCTCAGCAAGAGCTGGTTGCCCCTGCTGGAGCTCCAGCTGCTCCCCCAACGAATGCCGCACCTCCTGCTGCTCCACCACCCCCACCTCCACACTTGAACCCAGAGATCACACCATTGTCAGCTGCTTTGGCTCAAACAATCGCCCAGGGAATGGCACCTCCACCTGTGTCCATGGCTCCTGTGGCTGTCTCTGTCGCTCCTGTGGCCCCTGTGGCTGTATCGATGGCCCAGCCTTTGGCAGGAATCACAATGAGCCACACCACCACTCCCATGGTGACTTACCCCATCGCCTCCCAGAGCATGCGCATCACAGCCATGCCGCACTGATGGGACAACTGGACACTCGCCTGGTTTTGCCTCCTAGGGCTGGGGTTCAGGGGCTCCTGCTCACCCACTCGCATAGCCCTTCCAGGCCCTGTCTGAAGGGCTCACTCAAGAACTGGACAAGAGACTGCAAAGAATATGCTTCTGAGATGGGTTTGGGCTGGTGTGTTTTCTCTCACCTGCCTTTCGTAAGGGTCCTCTTGCCCATCTTCTTCAGGCTTCACAGAAGGGGCTTGTATGAGGGTGCAGACTGAAGCCAAGGGAAGAGGAAGACTGCCTGAGGGGCTGTGTTCCCTGATGGGAAGTTGAGGACATCCTGATCTTGTCCTCTCTTCAGCACAGCACAGCACACACAGGTTCCAGCACTACCTTTGGAAAGGATAAAAACAAAAATAAACCTACTCAGAAAGCCAGAAAAGATTGGGAAGTGGGGGGCCAGGAAAGTAAGTCTGATAGGAACTTTCAGACAACTTGGGGCCCAGTTGAGTTGGACAATATAGGAATTGCTCCTGGGACCCTGGAAAGGCGGGGACCATAGTACTCTAGCCCAAAGGCTAGGGTAGTACTCATTACCTTAGCTTGGGTTGGAAATCCATAGGGCAGGACCCACCACTTTCCAAAGAAATAAAAAATAATTATTTTTAACAAATGGAGGCAGTGAAGACTTGCTTAGATATTCTTTGTGGGGAGATGGAGCAGTTAGTAGATCTCATGCTACAATGGGATAGAGACCCCACCCTCACATAGGTTCAGCATGGTTGGATGGAGGCCAGTGATGATAAGAACCTAGGACATGACCAATTGGGGCTTTAAGGAAGCCACTCTGTGAGGTAAAAGCATTAGAGCCACCTGGTTTAATCTAAAAATAGCCTCATTTGTTTCTGGTCTCTGCATATGCTATTCCCAGGTTGCCTTGGTAACCAGGGCTCCTAGGGTCATTTAGGGGGGCAGGTACTGGAGAAGGTACATGTGATGGGAATGGGATATTAAGTAGTTGACAAATCCTTCCCTTATTCAAACAGAACAGGGCAGGTGGTGGTTGCTTTTCTGAGTTGTTGATGGCATTTAATGTCCCTCCTATCTTTTCTTCAGTGACCAATGCCTTAATCCTTAAAGCTTTGGGAGGTGCTGAGAAACTGAGAGTTCTCCTGGGGACACAGCCTCAGGATTCATCCCTTCCCTCTCTGTCCAAATTGGACCAGAGTAGGTTTTAAATCCATGTAAAAAAGCCACATGCCCCAATAACCAAACCTCAGTTCCTCCTCAGCTTGTGGCTGATGTGAGGGAAACAACTCAGGTGTCTAGTCTAACGGAACAGTATATTTGGGGGTTGAGAAATGATCCTGGGTCGCGCTCCCCCATCATACCTTCTGCTACCTCTTGCTCTTTTGGCTGGATGATTACTTAGAATATACCTGGAGTTGGAAACCTGAGGTTGAAAGCCTGGGTCAAAGCCAGTCATTTTTAAAACAAAGAAAAACTCTGAAGACTGAAAATGGGCAAATATGGTTTGTGGATTATAGAAACAACACATTGATAATGTTGATTATCTGGATTATTAAAAGAGTTGGTTTATGAACATTTAGAGAAGAGTGATCATAGATATGAATGTGCATTTGTTTCAGTGAAGTCCCGACAGACTATTATTGCCTTTTTGCCATGAATTCTAAAGAAGTAGTTTTAGGAAAGAAGATATTGAATGTCCTGTCTTAATGTGTCCCAGCTAATGACCACCAGATATACCTATAGTTGAAAGAGTTGGGTCTAATGCTCCTTGCAAAGAGGAGAGTGCCCACCATAGGGAACAGTAAGAGAATGTTAGGAAGGACTCACTGAAGTTGGACTTGGGTCAGAAATATTGGGAAGGTACAAAGGAGAGGAGCTTCATTGTGCACTGGGTTCTATCAAGGAAGCAGGGTTATTTTAAGGATATTTTTTTCTAAGAGAATAGAATAGACTAAGGCTGTAACTGGTTAAAAAGCAATAGTTAATAGCAGGGACAGGAAATGGGTAGTTGCGGTTTAAACCATGTTTAAACAAAAAAAAACATGAATTTTTTTTTTTGTCTCATTTCATCAAGTGACTTGAGTACTTTGTAAGATTGTGCACCATGGAAAAACACCACAGCTTCACTTTGTGAGCCAGATCAGCCCCAGACAACTGCAGAGCTTAACTTTGTGAGGCTGTGTGACCTGTCACATGTCAAAAGGTGCTTTCTTTAGTGTCACCTGCTAAGTTATTCCAGATAATTAAAAAAATTAAGGGTCAGTCAGTAGAGCTTGGAGGAATTAGAACTGTTTTACTCAGCAAGTGCTGATTAATATATTTATGTAACAGAAGAGCTGTCTTGTTAAAAAACAAACCAAACCTTAACTTGGATGTTATATGCCATCAAATTGTCGACGCCTAGTGACCCTTTGTCACAACAGCTCTGAATGTTCCTCTATCCTGTGCCGACCTTATTGTCTCTGATACACCAACCCTCATTACCCTAGTCACTGAATCAGTCCATCTCTTCGAGGGTCTTTCTCTCTTGCACTGTTCCTCGACCCTCCCAAGCATGATGCCCCTCTTCAAGGACTGGTCACTCCCTGCAACATACCCAAAGTATGTCAGATGAGGCTTTAGAATCCTTGCCTCCAAGGAGCTACCTGGTTTCATCCTCTCTAGGACAAACCTGTTTGGTATGTATATTGAATACTCTTCTCCAGCACCACGGCTTAAAGGCATCAATTCTCCTTTCATCCCTAGTCATTATCCAGCTTTCTGACACATAGCAAGTAATTGCAAAGACTACTATTATTATAGCTAATGTTAGATGCATCTTGGCTGAAAACAGAAAGTACCAGAGGAATGTCTGTGTTTCATTGACTACACAAAGGTATTTGACTGTGGATCACAACAAACTAACTCTGAGAAGAATGGGAATCCCAGAACACTTGATAGTGCTTTTGCGAAACCTATACTTGGACCAGGAGGCAGTCATTACAACAGAGCAGGGAAATACTGCATGGTTTAAAACTGGGAAGGGTATACACCAGGAACATGTCCTATCTCTGTACCTTTTCATTCTGTATGAAGAACAGACCATCCAGGAGGCTGGGCTCTGTGAGGAATACTGTGGCATCAGGACTGGAGGAACACATTAAAAACCTGTGTTATGCAGATGGTGAAAGCTTGCTGAGGAAGACCTGAAGTGCTTGCTGCAGAAGGTCAAGGACTGCAGCCTTCAATATGTATTGAAGCTCAACATCAAGAAAACAAAGATTCTCACCACTGGGCCAATTGGCAGCATCATGATAGATGGTAAAGAGATTGTGATTATTAACAGTTTCAGTTTGTTTGGCTCCACAATCAACTCTTGGTACCAACAGCCACGAAATCAAAAGACTAATTGTTGTTGTTGTTATGTGCCGTTGAGTCCTTTGCGACTCATAGCGACCCTATGCACAGCAGCCCTAAACCCTGCTCTATCCTGCGCCAACCGCACCGCCTCTGACACACCCATCCCGATTACCCCAGTCACCGAATCAATCCATTTCATAGAGGGTC